AACATTACACTTTTTTACATTGTGATACTTAATACGTGATGACAATTCATACAACCCCTTGCTGCATTATTGTCCCTTTTTCATTTGATTCATTAACTGTAAAAAATGCAAAGCCTTTTTAAACACCAACTGCAAAAATAATGACATATGTCAAATTTATCAGCTTTGCAATAACATTGATTTCAACAGTCATACTTGGCAGTTTTTATATTTTTAATACAATACAGGGCATAATTTACTGGTATCGTGCCATTCACAGGTATACCATGAATACCTTCTCACAAACACAACCAGCATCCTATTTTGATTTATGAACATAATCACAAATTGGCATAAAATTGCAATGGAATACTTGTACTGGAACGTGAAGTCTATAGGAAGGAAACAAATATTAACATTTGACAAAAAATCAGTAAATAAAGATAAAACCATTACGATGGAAACACATAGACAGACATGCAAAAAAAAAGAAAAGTAAACAGGGTCAACTGGGACTTCCGAGAAGATACTTGCAAACAGGGACAACACAACTAAATGATTATACATATACACCAAGAACTAAAACATGTTCAGTATAGCAATGGAAACCTGTTTGAGCACATATTAAGCACATCTTTTATCTTTTATCTTTAAGTTTTCATATGAATTAACGATCTTTTCTAAAGTGTTACATGATATTAACAGTATACGCAGAGTAATGATATTAACAGTTCATGTATGGTAATGATATTAACAGTATATGCAGAGCAATGATATTAACAGTTCATGTATGGTAATGATATTGAGGTTGATGTTTAAGTACTTTATATCTAATTCAGGTTTTTATCGGAAGCTGCTGTTTCCCTTTTACTGATGTCATACCAGCTGTGTTGTATCACGTTACATTCGAGTAATAACAGTACTATTAAATGTTAAGTCTAAATACTGATATTTTTCAAGTGTTCAAAATTGTTTCTTAAATATTAAGATACTTTGATTCAGAATTAATATCATTTGGGAAAACTTTGACAAGCCTTGATTGCTGCAAAAACAGTTTTAAAAGAACTTACAATGGCAAATGTATAAACTATGTCAGTTATGTCAATTGACATATTACATGAAATATGCCAATAAACCTCGTTACACTTGGCTCCTATACAAAAACCAATGGTGTTGTTTAATGTATACTATATAAACTGGTCCAGGGAATACTCAACAATTTCAAAACTTCCATTAAGATTTTGCAGTAATTTAGATACAAACAAGATTATTTTCTCAGCATATTTTCATATATATTTCTAGTCAATCACTGCAGACTGCTTAGATCTCCTACTTATATACTGTAACTTCACTACTGACCTTCTGAGACCTATTATTGAGGACATTCCAGGATTCCTGTTTCACTCATCCTGTATGCCTACTGTTAAATAATTGTTTGGGTGACATTTACAAAATGTTTATATGTCACAGTTACAAATTTGATGTTGCGTTGTATTTTTTCCCCAATAAAAGCCAAAAATTAATAGTACTGTGTAAAATCAAAGCTCCACAGAAAAGTCAATTATGGCTTATTTTCAACTTATTTATAGTTAACCAAAATCATTTGATTTCAAGATTTTTTATAACCATGAGACATGAACCATAAATTGACGATAGCTGTTGCACTGATCCTGATTAAGTACTGTATATAAACTCATTTTTAGAGGGTGTGGAAGTCTGTGTACTTGCATCTGTATTCACAATGTTGAATTATTTATCCAAACACCTGTAAAAAAAATGAAATCTTTTTAAGCTTGACCCTGATCGATTTCAACCTTCAGTAAAAACTTCATCAGTATAAGTTTTAAAATTGTTAAAGAAACAAATTTTACAGGCCAGCATAAATCATTGGTGAAAGTAAAAAAACCCAAAAATATTGGAGAAACAAACTTTCCTTCTATTCAAGAAAAATATAAATCCTACGTACAAATCCTCAATAAATTCAAAAACATATATAAGTCACCTATTGAGCACTCAGTTCTAATTAAACTATGAAGGAATTCCTACAGTATGTAGCAGTAATGCACCAAAAGTGATCCAAAACAACCTGGAGAAAAACAAGAAAACTCTTGCCTGGAAGACAAAGAATAAATTTAAACTGAAAGTCATCTCACAAATAACAGTGTTACCTACTACTTCTTCCCTACAGAAATATAGTGTACCCAAAAGTTAATGGTTCTACAGACTGTGGGGGCCTAGGACTAATGAGTATTATCAATAAGATCAAAATCATTAACTACTATACTTCTGTTCTTCAGTTCAACTAGACACAAAATTCTACCGTTTTGAATTAGAAATCTTACAATTTTAGCAATTTGATTGTCAAAGTATTAAAACTAAAATGTACAAATTGCCACTTCTATGCTCATCAATATTTTACTTTGGAATTTTTTCATGCTAAGAAACATGTTCTATATATATAAAGAATTTAGACTCTCATGTTAAGATCTGTCTCTATAAAACTGTTACAAATATTCTTGTTGTCTTTTGATATACAAAGTGAACATAAAAAAACAAAGATAATAACAAAGATAATATCAAGAAAACCTGTACATGTGTTACCATATTCTAAAAACTCAATGCCTGATGAATAACATAAAGAAGAAAAAAAGATAAATATATTCATATATCTAGTTCCCTGATGTTATGAGGATAACATGAAAAAAAACCTGACGATAATGATTGAAATCCCACATCTTTGTATATAGCTAGTTATCTCCCTTCCATATAGATAAACTGTTATACAATACAAATAAACATTACCTGTCATTATCATTTACAAGAACTGGTAATGCGAAAGTGATAGCATATTCTTTTCAGACAACAAACTGTTCAAAATCCTATAGTTATTTTTTCAAACTTCACAGCAACTTCTTATAAAGTGAATTAAGAACAAGAAAATTGTGTTTTATAATGTAAGATGGACTTTCAGCAGGATTTCTTTAACGCAATAAAAACAGGTATTCAAGTACAAAGTGTTGTTCATCTCAAAATTTCCACAGATCTCAAAGTCACCAATTCACAAACAAAGAAATGGGATAGGCTTAACTCAATATGAGCAAACATATGTTAATTTTTTTAATAAAATATCACCATCAGGGTAAAAAAATATCATAGAATATCAATTGTCGAATTCAAAATTCAATATTTTACACCAATTCCAATATCAAATATGTTTTTGTTAATATGATAACCGAGTAATGAGGCTATCTAATGTCACTGACACAATAGTCAGGTGCTGATCAACATTGATGTATCACACACCAAGCTTACTGTATGTGTTAACTAGACAATATAGCACACCCTCCCAACATTAATCTCAGTGTTCACTATAGCAGATCTATGGCATGTCCTGTACAAGCAGTTTACATTGAGCAAGGGATGAATACAGGTTGGCATACATAAAAATACACATACATGTCTGGGACTATTATATATTATTCCTGTTAGTAACATCCATACATCACATAGACTTTGCACAACTTTGTAGTGAAAACTAATTGATTTTAACATTTGTCAACTTGCAGATTAACACATGACTTTCATGGTATGGATTGTGGCAGTCATCATTTAATATGAACTGGGATTGCTGTTAGTAATTTAATATGACGACAGTGATAATGGACTGTGACAGATTATAATCTAACATGATGACTGTGACATGACATGAATACATCCATGCTATTATGACAACCGAATGGTACATCATAGCATTACTGTAGTATAATAGATCAATAATTGTGACATCACATTGAAGACCTTAGATACAATTACAAGATGGTGATGTTCAACAGTTGATGATGGTCGGAGAAAATGTGCCTTTTAGGAATATTTCTATACGTTCATAGTAATGTGCTATAAGTGAAAATGTCCTAGCCTTGTTTTAGAGATGAAGCATTATGGAGGTACGGTGTATATACATTGCAACAAAGATATCACTGGAAAGACTATACAGTACCGCTATATTGCAATGAGGTCTATACAATACAACTTTCCTGTCAATAATTATAAACTCACAAGAAAAGTTAGCCTGTATAGAGAGGGGTTACAATAAAAAATAATATGTAAACCTCTGTGACAATATTCATACCCCACATGTGTTTTTGTTTACACTACTGTTGGTGGAGTTATGACTGAAGTAATAGGATGGGAGAAAAACAATCATCCCCTACCTTGAGGGTGTGACAGAGAAATCTCCAACCCTCGGGGTGATTATTTTGGTTGTCTAACCCCTCGGGGTGATTATTTTGGTTGTCTAACCCTCGGGTTAGACAACTAAAAAATATCACCCCGAGGGTTGGATTTTTTTTTTCTTTCACACCCTCAAGGTAGGGGAAGATTCTATTAGTCATGTGTTACTGCCCACAGATCCCATTTACTGTCCTTCTGTCTATATCTACATCACTATTCAAATACTTCCTTTTATATATTTTTACTGAATATACATAACATGTAAACACTTACAAACTCTCCTCTCAGTCATTTAATGACACTGTCCTTTGATTATACAAATAATATCAGACATTCTTCACATACTTAAGACCCAATACAATGTCCTGCTTCAAAAGTATAAAATATATCATTCTATTTCTATTTGTACCTGATTTCAGGTGACATACAGATCTTTATATACTTTATACATACCAGTATCTCAAGGAAAAACAAAATCAGAAGAAAATTAAAAACCACAGATATTTCCCTATGTAGAAACAAAAGCAAATCTGTCTAATGGTTCTCGTGATACATCTTAATAAATGCAGGACTCTAATACAAACGGCTAACCAATAAATCTGTACATTTTTACAGTTGATACATACCTTTTCTATGAGAATAATTAAATTTTGATAACAGCTACCAAATTACAAGTGCACATACACTGTATTTTCGGGTACCTGTTTTATTAACAATAAGTCTAATATTTTTATAATATATAGTGGCCATCACCTATAAAACAATACATTTATCAACAACTAGAATAAACAAATGTTTAGTATAAATAGAAAAAACATAGGTATACATGTACTACAACAGGACACATGGTTTACAAATACTATCATTCAATTTTGTAGAAATAGGGACAGCATTTTTCACTTATATTTACTAAGCAACAGCTAAAAGCAGTTACATGAACACATTTTTGAATGAATACAATTGATACTCATTCATGCATTACTAGAGAAAATCAAATTAACAAATAAAAAACAAAAACCCATGAAGGTGAAGAAAACTACTTCTAAATAAAATTGCAAATAATGATTTGAGATACAGTGTAATAGCCCATCAGATCTAATGCCTTATAGCGATAGCCCATCAGATCTAATGCCTTAAAGCGATAGCCCATCAGATCTAATACCTTATAGCGATAGCCCATCAGATCTAATGCCTTAAAGCGATAGGAAAAAACTCCAGGGAAAATCCTTCAGGGTAAACAAAACATGCCAAATGATATTGATTAATTATATTTAAACACATGATTTTAAAACAAAGAAATAAAAAAAAATTGCACAATTTTCCAATTTCTCCAATGGTCTGTTAGACAACCAAAAATTGCAGGAATAAATTTTATACTTATAATCCTTATGAGAAATAATACACCAATACCATAATGTTCATACATTAGCCAGAAGAGATCCATATAAATACAGGTTCATGAAAGTCCATGATGATATAATATTCATCATGGAATGAGCTTGAAAATTAAAACAATAAAAAGCTTATACATTGTATATACACTGGGCTCCATACCAAACAAGAGGCCCATGGGACCTGAATCGCTCATCTGTTTTTATTTGTTATCTAACAAGACAATATTCGAAAAAACGTTTTTGTCAATTGAGAACATGGTGGCCATATTGGAACTACCAAGGTCCCAACCAATAACAATAACAAAACTCAATTTAATATGGACAAAGCAAAGAATATTTGTATCAATTTGGCTAAATTGACCTGTTGGAAGTCAATGAAAGTTTAGAATTCTCAGCCAATGGTAATTGAAATTCAGCCAGCAAAATTCTCATTTAAAGCAATAATGTTAAAATCTTGTGTACCATTAATCTTGCCACTATGCAGGCCCCTTGCTTCTGGGTAGTTAGCAAAGCAGTTCAGGAGATGTCTTTTACATCAATTGTTGATAGACAACGGACATTGTAATTTGACATAAGCTCACCTTGAATCTTCAGACTATGAAAGCTAACAATAAGCAAAAATAAAAATGAAAATATACAAATAATTGATTAGCAACTAACATAAACATGTGTACGGTATGTACCAATACAATCTTATGTCATAGTTTTCTACCAAATTTGTGTTTGTATATCAAGTTTCTATTTTAAATGCTTAATTCTGTTCATTTCATATACACATGACCAAATATACAACAATTTCTCCTTTACAAGTAAAGCTCTGTTACTGTATAATTTGTGCAACAAAAATATATGTCTCCCTTGTTTTTTCAGATGATCCTCTTCACAGTTGACTTTAATATTCCTATCCCAACTTGGCACACTTTAATCACTGTATAGAACATGTTCCCGTATAATTCTGACAACACACACATCGTTCATTCATAGGTCGTGGAGGAATTAGATCAAGGTCCTCGTCATCAGGTTCAAGGTCAAGATTATAGCCGTCCTTAATTAACTGCTGGGTAATGTCTTTGTTAGCACCTCGTGATATCATCGGAGACTCAAAATCATCATCATCATCGCTGAAACAGACAGGCACAATAAATATAATAGATATCTATTACTCAATTTATATGTTCTAATTGTAAAATACAGTTATTTCACTTCTACAAACATCATTTTTTTCTTCCGTAATCAATACAAGTAAAAGGCTATGATTACTAGCTCTAGTACAATGTCGATTCTGTTTCACTATGTATCAAACTTTACCTTCATGCATACAAATGTACTTTATCTCACAAACATTGACTGCAGGTTTTATAAGCAAGTAGAAATGTACAAGAATTTTGGATTGAGAGGATGGTAATTCCATATTGACAGAAATTATCTACAGAATTAATATTCATGAAAGATTTAAATTTACGAATGAGTCTCCTCCCAATTTAAACAAAATAATATCTCTCGCAAAAAAAATAAAGTGATTTACAACAACATAACGTATTCTGAAGAATTTGTCAAAAAGTACACAAATAATCATAAACAGTAAACACTATACATACAAATGAATGAATGTCTTTTAAAGTATGTAGTGATTCTAGGTAAAATACACTTGTTTTCTGTGTAATTTTACATGCTATATTTATAGGGATTACAGGACAGAGGTACAAAACCACTGTTACAACCAAGAGCTTTACAGCCATACTGAACCTAGAAAGTTTTAGTCTAACAGCACTTACCTCTCATCGTCAGTCATTATGGCTACCAATGGTTGCTGGTCAAGAGGTCTTGGCTGGGCATCTGATCTAGGAGGAAGCATCAGTCTGAAACAGAGCATTTAGTAAAGTCATAGGCTAGCAATAAGCCAGAAAAACATTATTGTATGGAAATAACATAATGTATTACCTACAAGGTGGATCCTACAAAAAACATTGTGAATAACAGATTTTTTGTATAACTGCGGTAGAAACTGCAACTTCAAAGAAATTCTGTTTTACCTTCATGTTGCTTTTCAAACCTAATCGGAAATTTTACATGATTTTTCCTGTTTGATGAAACTCAATGTTTCAAAAAGTATATATTTCTGGTTAAAGAATTCTTTATGATTATTTAACAGTATTTAATTACAAGAGCATAAATCTCCAGGTACTTCAGTTTTTCCTTCAAATTCTGTTTTTCAATGTATTTTTTTTCTAAAACTGATTAAGATTGTTCTGACCCTCTTTCAAAAAGATAAATCATTAACACAAGGAAGCAAGTTACTTGTGGTTTCATGTAATTACTTTTCCATCTGAAACAGTCTATAACAACATTTCTGTCCACTTACCGGCTTCTTGGCATCATAAAAGTATTTTTGCTTGGCTGTTGATTAATAACTTTAGCCCTCCTAGCATTTTCTCGGTGTCGCTCTGTCAAAGAAATATTGATATAAAGTTGTAAAGATATATTTATAAATGTGTTTATCAAGTATTGATTAAAAATAAACAATGACTAAATCATGTTGATAGAGTTGTTATTTATTATCTATAACACCAACTGATTCATTAAAATGAAACAAAGTTATACCGTTGTATATCGCCCCAGTGTTCTCTGGCCCTGACACCAGACTAAGACATTTTGACAGATAGATGTCTGGTGGACATGTGGGACCAGATATCACTACTTGAAATAAAATCAGAGGTACAAAATGTAGTAAAGTAGGGTTGAAATAAAAACATAGATAAATTTGTATACAGATCTCATGCATACTTGTGAATATAACCTGGAAAATAAAGCCAGTTATAAACAGTAGCTAGCTACAGACTTTTGCAATAATTTAATGCATATCAAACTTACCAAGACTTTTACAATAATTTAATGCACATCAAACTTAACAAGACTTTTACAATAATTGAATGCACATCAAACGTACCTAGACCTTTACAATAATTTAATGCACATCAAACTTACCAAGACTTTTACAATAATTTAATGCATATCAAACTTACCTAGACTTTTACAATAATTTTAATGCACATCAAACTTACCAAGACTTTTACAATAATTTAATGCACATCAAACTTACCTAGACTTTTGCAATAATTTAATGCACATCAAACTTACCAAGACTTTTACAATAATTCAATGCACATCAAACTATCTAGACTTTTACAATAATTTAATGCACATCAAACTTACCAATCTTTTTCTGGAGCTGTGAAGATTTTCTGTGGGCATTACTCTGTGTCTTGGCATCTGAGTAACTGGCGGGTGACTTTGATGAGGAAGATTTGGTACTCTATAAATATAAAAAAAAAAGAATATGAAATAAGGCAAATTTTACAGGAACAATGAACATACATAAATGCAACATAGAGTTCTTTACAAGTGTTTTACACTCCTTACGCTCCTCATGATCAGGCTAAGTAGTATCCTATACCTGTATACCCTATACCTGTATATCCTATACCTGTATATCCTATACCAGTATATCCTATACCTGTATATCCTATGCCTGTATATCCTATACCTGTATACCCTATACCTGTATATCCTTTACCTGTATACCCTATACCTGTATATCCTATGCCTGTATACCCTATGCCTGTATATCCTATACCTGTATACCCTATACCTGTATATCCTATACCTGTATACCCTATACCTGTATACCCTATACCAGTACTGTAAGGACTCCAACGTAACTGTAGCCCAAAAGTTTACTTTTCAAATTTATTTTTAGTCAGATCTCTTTATAATAATTATTCTTTGCACTTGTTTAATTGTCTGATTGATGAAATGTGTTTTACAAGAGTATTGCCCCTTGTACTGTAAGTACTGCCCAGCCATCCATAGCTAAATTGTATATGTATACACATGTACGTACATTATTATACAGCACCAGTCTGGAATCACTAGGACTTTGAGTCATGTGTTAACAAGCTGTCAAACCATTTGTAATGTCGTTATTGTGTGTTATTCTGTTGCATCAAAACATCAAATATTTATCATATAGATATAGACAATGACCAAAGTAAACATATAGATTTGATGGTGTCATTATAAGTTATAAAAGCAATACAAGTACGAAATGTAAGACTGTATGCGTTTTTTCAACAGTGCAATCTTTAAGTCTGGCTGTCTTCCAATGCCACGAGCATCTGAACAGCTCAAGGCTGATCATCTACCAGAGACCTACACCCGAATGAGACACATACATACATTGTACACACCCAACAAGAGATGCTGGGTCTCAGAATGTTTACAAAGTCTGTTATCTGAATGATAAATTAAATATCTTCACCTTAACTTTGTAACTTTTTTGGTACGAATATATATATTGCAAATTGAGTTCAGCTTCTATGTTAAAGTTGAACATGTACATGTATAGCATACACGTCCATGTACATCAGAGTACCCTCCCCTGAACATGGGTATTGGAAGTGGTATGTAGTAACAAAACAAATGCATACATTTTTATCCACAATCACAACAATTTTATTGATGTGAACAATCAGAACATATGTGTTTGTTATAATGACATGGCTAAAGGGAATTTCCCTATAGCATAATCAACAGAGCATTATAGTATATAGTACATATTATGTGTACTTTGTTTATGCATCTGCATTGTGTGTTTACTTTGTTTATGCGTCCGCATTGTGTGTACTTTGTTTATGCATCCGCATTGTGTGTACTTTAATTGTTTATGCGTTTGCATTGTGTGTACTTTAATTGTTTATGCCTTTGCATTGTGTGTACTTTGTTTATGCATCCACATTTTGTGTACTTTGTTTATGCATCCGCATTGTGTGTACTTTGTTTATGCGTCCGCATTGTGTGTACATTGTTTATGCGTTTGCATTGTGTGTACTTTATGTGTTTGCATTGTTTGTACTTTGTTTATGCATCCACATTTTGTGTACTTTGTTCATGTGTTTGCATTGTTTGTACTTTGTTTATGCGTCCGCATTGTGTGTACATTGTTTATGCGTTTGCACTGTGTGTACTTTAATTGTTTATGCGTTTGCATTGTGTGTACTTTAATTGTTTATGCGTTTGCATTGTGTGTACTTTGTTTATGCGTTTGCATTGTGTGTACTTTGTTTATGCATCTGCATTGCGTGTACTTTGTTTATGCATTTGCATTATGTGTACTTTGTTTATGCGTTGGCATTGTGTGCACTTTGTTTATGCATCTGCATTGCGTGTACTTTGTTTATGCGTTTGCATTGTGTGTACTTTGTTTATGCGTTTGCATTGTTTGTCCTTTGTTTATGCGTTTGCATTGTGTGTACTTTGTTTATGCGTTTATGCGTTTGCATTGTGTGTACTTTGTTTATGCGTTTGCATTATGTGTACTTTGTTTATGACGTCTTAAGTCTGTGTACTCCATTTATGATGTCACAAATAAATTCAAATCGCCTGAGGAGCCCAAAGATGGTCAAAAGCGCTGATTATACTAGTCTAAGTAGTCTTCTGCTTTGTTTTATTTATAAATATATAATCAGAAAAACGTTTCAAAGTCCTTGTGATGGTAAATATAAAAAAACAAGAGTTTCTTCGACTAAGAGAGTTTCTTTGGCTTTAGTCGAAGAAACTCTTGTTTTTTGGTTATATACATTGTATATATATATGAAATATAAAAAGAAAAAATTCTCATCGAGTCTTTAGTACTTTTATCTCGTCATGGAGATTCTTTAGACTGTTTATTTAAATATATATATGTATTCTGTAACCCTGCAAACTGCTTAATCCTAATATTGCAGAGGCACTTTGAAAAAGTTACCTTGGTATGTATATAATACAATGAGGTTAAGTATTATGAACACAAATTCTTTTTGTTCCATGAAACTTGAAAATAAAAGGTCAAATGAAACACTGCAGTTACCATGACATGAAATTTCATTGTTAACTTGATGTACAAGGTTTTTAAAGAAAGACTAGCTCTGGACTCTGGAGAGTGGCAGGTTGTATTAAAGGCTGTCCTTGGGTTGATAAAGGTTCCTCGGAGGTACAGGTATGGTTGCAATTGTATATAGCCACAAGCTTGTTAATGATATAGTATATATCAAATAATGGTGGCATTTAATTTGTAAAAGCAGCAAAATATGTAACCTTTTTTTTTGTTAAAAGAAGGATCTATTAGCATGTACGTGCTGACAGTCTTGTAATCATCATACAAGAGGCCCAGAGGGCCTGTATCGCTCACCTTAATATGTTTAAAATAATTGGTATGAAGTAGGTGCTGGAGGTACATATGAAATTTCAGAAAGATCCATCCAGTACTTGAGATATAGCGAGAACAAACAGAACCCCACATATATATGCAACTTAGGGGGGTCATACCCACCAATTATACAAAATTGAGTCCCCTTGACCCAAGGATGCTCCAGACTAAATAAGGATATATATAAAATCCCATAATCCTGATGGTCGAAGAAGGATTTTTAAGGTTTTACCTATATTTCTCCTATTGGGCCCCGCCCTTCTGCCCCTTGGGACACCACACCCACTGCATGCTTATACAAAATTGAACCCCTTTTGCCTAAGGATGCTCCAGACTAAATAAGGAGAATATCCCTTAATCACTAAGGTAGAAGAAGGATTATAAAGGTTTTACCTATATTTCCCCTATTAAACCCTGCCCCTCAGGTCCCACGAGGGGGGGAGGTCACACCCACCGTTTATACAAAATTGGTTATCCTTTACCAAAGGATGCACCACACCAAATATGGAACAAATCCTTTCATTCCTACAGAAGAAAAAGGATTTTAAAGAGTTTACTATGTTTCCCCTATTGGGGCCCCACCCCTCAGGCCCCTGGGGTACCACACCCACGATTTATACAAAATTGGTTCCCCTTCACCCAAGAATGCTTCTGACCAAATATGGAACAAATCCTTTCATTCCTACAAAAGAAGAAGGATTTTAAAGAATTTGCTATGTTTCCCTTATTGGGCCCAACCCTCAGGCCCCTGGGGTACCACACCCACGATTTATACAAAATTGGTTCCCCTTCACCCAAGGATGCTTCTGACCAAATAGGGAACAAATCCTTCCATTCCTACAGAAGAAGAAGGATTTTAAAGAATTTGCTATATTTCCCATATTGGGCCCCGCCCCTCAGCCCCCAGGAAGGCCACACCCACGGTTTAGACAAAATTGTGCCCCTTCCCCCAAGGATGCTTCTGACCAAATATGGACCAAATCCTATCATTCCTACAGAAGGAGAAGGATTTTAAAGAATTTGCTATATTTCCCCTATTGGGCCCCGTCCCTCAGCCCCCAGTGGGGCCAGACCCATCATTTATACAAATTGAGTCCCCTTGGCCAAGGAATGCTCCAGACCAAATTTAGTCCAAATCTACTGGGCCGTTCAGGACAAGAAGCGTTTTAAAGGAAAAGTTGACGGACGGACGCTGCGCCATGGCATATTAAGCTCACTTGCCCTTCTTTTCCGGCCATGCGCTGTAACCCTGGGACACAGTATCATAATTATGATCCTAGAGCATATTGTCCGACTTTTCCCAGTAGCTACATTTTTGTAGTTGAAGGTGCATTGCCACTGGCACACATGCACATTCATCATCGTATATGAATAACATCTGGATCTGGACAATGTACATGTAGGGCCTTCTCCGGCATAAACACATCGAGAGAAAGAGTGCTGGAGGCGCTTAGTCGTGCAGTTGCAGAGCTAACTTAAAACCCTTGAGTGACTCTGCACGCACAATGTTGTCTGGAAGCTGATTCGAGTCGATGGTGTTTTGGGAAAAAATTAGCTATTATAGCAGGAGTGTTATAGTCTGTAGTTTTAAAGCACCTAGGGTTGTTGGTTTCTTGGTTTTCTATAATATTTTTTCTGAGACTGTCTGTAAACCGTGTTCCGGTTCCCTCGGATTGGTGTTAAATAGTCCTGACTGTGCATGGCTGGCACCAGCCCCTCGACCACTTTATAAAAGAATGCTAGTCGGCTCTGCTTCCATCTCTCTTTGAGTGGGGGCAGGTCCATGTCCTGGAACATATGGGTGACACAATCTGACTCCCTGGAGGCATAATCTCTTGAAATGTATCGGGCTGCCTGGCGTTGGATGCGCTATAGCCAGTCGATGTCTTTGCTGAGATAGGGATCCCAGACCACAGAGCGATACTCTGTTTTTCGACATGAAGCTGGGCAATATTTAATGTTTCAGGTTCCACCGCGGAAACCCTAGAGTGGAATTAGCCTTCTTTACTATCTTGGTGATGTGTGGACCAAATCTAAGATTTTCTGACAGGGTTAATCCAAGATATGGGGATTCCTGCACTTGCTGTAGGATGTTGTTGTCAAGCTGGTAGAAGTGCTGTGAATTGCAGTTAATGCTCATGATGTAGCACTTCTTGGCATTGAAATGCATACCCCATGTCCTATGTAACTGTTAAATTATGAAGGAAAAAGTAATTTCATTTGTATGTTTCATATTACTACACCAGTAACATATATATATACAACATCAGCTTTGTAAAAAAAATTCCGACAATGCGATCGAGTAATTTACAGACCTTGAATATGAAGGTGGACTATTGCCTTAATAACAAGCTAACTTTCACGGCCATGCGATATAACCCTGGAACGTGCTTGCTAGCGACTGGATGGTTGCGCGATCATTTATTTTTCATTAACCATCCACTTAACTTTATATTTGACGGAGAAGTTTCATTTATATGTGTGTTGCTTCCAAGACGATTTTGTTGAATTTTCAGACGACTTAATCAGCGACAAAAAGCTCGAACGAAATCGCCCCTTGGCCCAATTTTGTTTTGACATCTGTCAACAAGTATGAGCTCTCCCATATGTTTCGTACCTGTGGTTCCGAACTTCCGTTGAGCATTGATTTTTGGTCACTATCAAATCCGCTGTCTTCCATACTATCCATGACACCAAATGAAACGAAGAATATGCTTATTTCTTGTTAATCATAACATTATTCACATCAGTCGTGTTCCGGAAGTACATTGCCGACCATTTTTTCTGAACCAACGTTAGGTGTACGAGAATCTCGTTATGATCACTGCACATGCGCGTTTCTAATGACAACTTGCAACGCTGTTTCCGTGTGTTTTCACTTCACAGAAGTTTGAGAAGTCAACATTTCAGCCAACTCACTGGGATAACAAAAAGAAATAAACATGCCAGCGAAGGCAATTGGAAAAGGGAAGCAGGTATAAAACGCTGTTTTCTGCAATTCATTGAATTTGATCGGTATACGCGGAATTCATTTGACTGGCTATTGACATGTGTGTGAATTTTCCCATTACAACACTGAATGAAAATGTCATTTTGTAAACTATGCAGAACTGTGATATAGGCTTAAAGCACGGCATATAATCTAATCATTTTCTTTTCAGGTTCTTTTTGGTTTCATGATAATTTCATAGAAAGCTCAGAAAACTGCTCTGGTACTTACTTCAAATATGAGAATAAGACAGTTTTCTACCTCTCCCTATGAATCCACTTAGTGGGATATTACAGTCTGCTGTAATTAAATAGTCTAGAAAAATATTGGTAGGATAGAAGGCCCCTATTGTAAAAGGAGAGGAAAATATGCACGGCGAGACCGGGATTTGAACCCAGCTATAGGGACCCTCTGAACCATAGACATATATATGCTCTACCAGATGAGCTACCTTCATGGTCGCCAAGGATCAACCTAAGTCCAGTTTCACTACATTCCTCACTCCTTTTCCTCAGGTTTCACCTCCGAAGACACAGCTTTTTACAGCCAAGGTTTGGGTATCTTCTTCTCCTTGCCAAGCATAAATCAAATACCTGAAACAAGGGTTGGTCACAGGCACCACTGTAGCAGGACATGTAAAATGTGTGGCCAGACTGGGGTTCGAACCCAGGATCCTCAAAACTCTAGATGAATGCTCTACCATTTGAGCTACCTGGTTTCTGATGATCGACCCAGTCCTGTTCCTTTGACTGTTTTAATTATGTGCTGATTTTGTGCAAAATTACATGTCATGATGTGGGTTGGAGGCGACAGGGCCAGTGTCATTTTTATAAAAACTATTGCAAACCCATGAAATAACGTTATGTAAAAAAATAAGGGGGGTTTACGATGAAGAAGTTACATCCGACATGGAAAACACACACTTACTCAATGCTGGTGCTCCATATCTTGAAACATTACTCTGTATGGAAATATTTAGAAAACTTAATATGGTATAAGCTTCATGTAGTTAAAATTGCATTCAAAAGCAAGCCCCAATATCTTGATACTGTTTCTTTATTTATTACTTGTGATATGACTGATATTAATTTACCTGTACCTGTTATATATCAAAATTACTTAAACTGGCGTCATATAGCTGAATTTCGAGGTTCCAGTAAGTTCCAAACAGTGAGTGTTTCCTCTAAATTTAATCATGCAAATCACTGACTTTTGCTTTAAGTAAGCCCAAAGATTCTTCTTGTCTGTGGCATCATTAATGAAAAGCCAGGTATTGCTGTACCTTGGACCTTGTTAAATCTGTTTATAGTAAAGGGACTCATAAAAAAAAAATGTTCTGGAAAAAATCTACAAAATCACTGCTTCAGGTCACCAGTATTAACTGTATTAAGTTTGTGACATTGCTTAAACTGCAATCAGAAAATGGAAGTGCAGGATAAGCCATTTGTTTATTGAAAACCAGAAGTAGGGAGGGGTATAGCATTTTTTTAAATGGAGAAAGAAACAAATGAGGAAACCATGTAAATTGATGGCTAACTCGAAACTCAGCTAGTGATGTTTTATTTGTATTTTACTAACTCACATTCTTTTGGCAGACGTGTATACAATTTTGTAAAGTTAATCTATACTTATGCATGTTGATATATTTTGAATTCTTTTGTATGGAAAGTTTGTGTATTTAAACAAGAAAAAGCATCCAGATTTTCATTGTTTCATTAGCTGTTGTTAATGAGTTGCTTATCCCCTTGCACCTTCTAGCATGTATATGTATTCTAATGCGTGTTTTAGCTTTTAACACCCTCTTAATTCTTTTCCTTCCCTTCAATCTGCTAAACTTTTATTCACATTCTATGATGTTCTGAATCCAAGCTTCCATTAAGTATCATTTTAACAGCATGTATAGTCTAATCAACAATTATTTCACAGACAGTTGTAATTAATGTTGATGATAGATTGCTCTCCTATTTCACTGATCTATAGCTCCTTTCTCACACACACACGCATATATACTGTTATACTGTATATATATATATATTATATATCGTATCTAAACACAATTTAGTTATAGCATTACAAAATTTCTAACATAAATAGCATTTTCACTTTGAAATAATTAACTGTAAAATAAACAACACTTTCTAGCATTTTATTTTTCTATTGCTTTTTCCCATCATCAGGGTTAGACACTAACTTGTTTTGCTTGGTAGTCCACAGGACTAGTTGAATAGATTATTTACTAGTCCGTCATCAATGTTACTAGTCCAAGATTTCCCGATAACGAAACATTGCGATCTACAGCACGAAACTTCAAAAGTAATTGACTGTAGGGGACTTAAAATAATTACTGCCATAGAAATATGGTGAAGTTTTAGGAAAATTTTGACAATTATCATGCAATATATCTTATTTTAGCTGTTTTCTAAATTTTAAAAAGAAATACTCTTATTCTATAATCATTTTTTTCACATGTCCAAAGGACCATAGGGTTTTTGCCAGGTGTTTATAGGGGACCCATTCTGAATTGAAAAATTACCCTGTATTTTCCCAATTCCAGTCATAATTTCCCAATTAGATAAAAACCCATGTTTAAATACAAGTTTCCAGACGTTATTATGTGCAACGTTCAAAGTATTTCCGTTCATGAAAGAGCATTCAAAATAAATAATTAATGGAAATTTGAAATTGAATAAACAAAAACACTGAAAATTGATGTGTTTATTTATTGCTATACATTTTACTGGTTCTAGAAAATATCATAAGTTTCTCGAACCACTTAGGTTAGGTGATTCACTAGTCCTTGCTGAAATCTACTAGTCCAAGACTAGCGGACTAGTGTTAGTGTCGACCCTGAATCATAAGCCTTTGCTTTAAACAGTATATACTTTGACAACATAATGGTGATGACATTCGTTAGGTTATGTTGGCCTTATGCATGTCTCTCTTTCGCACATTAAATCTTACTTACAGCATGACAGCTATTACAATGCATGTGTACACTGGCCTAGGTTTTATTGCAGTCTTTAACACTCAGGGCTTTAGTTAACATCGTAGAGTAATTAGTCTGCAGGTTTTTTTAACACATTGTGTATGGTAGGTAAAGTAGCCTAGGAAATCTCACCAATACATTAACAGTCAGCACATATGTCAAAGTGAACTGATCAGGATTTACAACAAATAGTGTTTGAATGTAAAGCAGTCGTTTGAAGAATATAAAAAATAAAAACTTAGTTCCGGAATTTACCTCAACACATCAATTTTTTCATGATAGCATTTTTTGTTAGAAATATTATTGTTAGTGCATGGATATGTACAATATAAAACAGTATTGATGCAGGTGACAAATATTAAGTTAAATGGTACCACTGTACAGTTATAATTACAAAGAAGAGTTCCACCTCACAGCTGTTTTATTGTCTTAGATAATCTGTGTATGGAAAGGAAAGCATTTGTTTTGGTTAGGAATTTAATTTCTATGCAGGGTATTCATCTTAAATTTCGATACCATGCAATTACAATTTCTGGATAGCAACATTTGTAATATTTGGGATGGTTAGTGGGAAGATAATGAGTTTTTATATCATTCTAATTTTTTAAACAATCGTAATTCTGTAAATGCAATGAAGTTGCAATTCATCTGGAATAGGAAATGACTGAAACAACCATTTTACAACAGTGTCAATGGTAATAATATAAAATGTATTTCAACTCATTCACCCCTGAAATTTAATAATGAACTATTCCAGCCTTTGAATTGGAAGAGTTCAAATGTGTCTTCAGGGGTGAATGAGTTAACCTGAAGGTAACCTTTACCTTAAAATACGAAAAACAACAGGCTAGACAGTTTTCTAAATATAAAAAAGTGGCATTAGCTTTAGTTTACCTAATTTGGTTTCTTATCTTTAAAAATATACATATATTTAAATAAAAATCATTTATTACCCGGTAGGTGTGACTCCACCTTGATAAAAGACAGAAGGGGAAAAAAATAAGTGTAAAAGTTGTATCATTTACTTGAAATTATAGTTATTTAAACCTTAAGAAGTTTATCTTTGGTAAAAGTCATATAAAAAATAAAAGAAACTAATGTTAAAATCATTATGCAAATTGCTGTGAATAAGGCAACAAAATGGTTGATTTTTTCTATTTTTTGTCTTTATATGAAGAAGACAGGCACCTATTAAACACTGGGAAGTTCCTGTTAACCTTGTTAGCAAGGTCATTCTCTAAGCATTAAAAAGTGTTCTCAAGATTAAATAAACAATATTTTAACTAAATATTAATACCAGTGACACCAAGAACATTTTCAAATATAAATAGGGCAGTGTCAATACAAAATAAAGATAAATATATGAGTTGTAAGACTAACACTACACCTCTGATATTTCACAGCTTTTGTCATTTTTTTCTTTTGCACAATGCTGTTTTTTTATCGTATATATAAGGCATACAATAAAAAATGGTGACAATGCCAAATAATGGATCAAAGCTTGGTTTCATGATATGAATTGAATAAATTGTTTATGCAGGCTGGAGGAGCAAGTGACATCTCCCGTCGGAGAACTACTCGTATGAGAGGGGTAAGTTTGAAGGTTATTCTATGTCTCATTTAAATGATTTTGTTTGTAAAATGTAGGTTGCTCCTAAAGGTAAAGTGAGAGGAAAGGTTCCAGGAAAGGTATTTATTCACTTGGACATTTATTTAATAGATTTTTATAATTGATATTTGAATTTTGAGAAATGAAAAGATGTTTCAAACATTTCCTAAGAACTTTAAATTGTTTAAAATTTAAAACAAAATATCTATTGAATGTATTTCATAATGATAGACAAAATAATTTACAGAAAAAAATGGAAAAACTAATATACTTTAAAACAAAGCTTTATATGTTGGTAAAAAGATGAGTTAAATTGTTGGTGTCATAATGTTTGTATGTGAATGTGTTTGTTGTGTAGGATGGAGACGACATGACAGACATGGGTGATGGTACGGATGCTGATGACTGGATGCATGTAAGTCACACTCTTAATGATGTTATCAATTATTTCATTGTTTTTAAACATATTCATGCTATTCTAATTAACTTGTAGGAACTAATTGTGGTTAAGTGCTTAAATATGTCGTTATTATATCTGTCAGAATAAAGATTTAATGACTTTTTGGAACATATCAGTTAATCACTGTGAGATTATACTAGACCGATCAGGCTTATATTTTTCATTGTATTCATATCATTATCAATAAATTAAGGTCATCTTAGATGTTGAAATTTCCTTTCAGCTTTTACAAAATAAAAACATACATTTCTTGAAAGAGAGTAAAATATTACAATTTCTTTAATCCATACATTATAAATTGAATTATAACACTTTCATATTTAAAGCAATATGATATGGTATATATAATAGCACTTCATTCTTTTTAAGTCCAAAGCCTTAGTCAAACCAGAGGATCAACTGGACCTTAATGAGCAGGTAAGTCAATACTTGTATCAGTAAAACAAATTTTGGCAAGGTTATGCTTTAAATATTTTTCATTAAATGGAATTGTCAATTTGAGATTTACATGAACTTCTGATTATAATGGTATCTTATACTCATTTTTTATACAAAGTAGCTTGGAATTTAAAGTAAATGTCTGATTCAAAATATTATCAAAATGAAAGGTTAAACTCACCAGCTATAAAGAAGTAAAATATAAATAAAATGTAATTTTGTGTAGAGAATGTTGGTATAACAGCTATGGGAACTTAATGGGTATTTTTCTGAAAATTCTAGCAACTGAAAGAGGAGTTTACAAGGATTCTTACAGCAAACAATCCCCATGCACCTCAGAACATCGTCCGCTACAGTTTCAAGGTATGTAAATCTTCCAGGTATATAAGTCTTGTGTACAGCATGTTATCAAAAAGAATAAAAAAAATATTGAATGATGTTTAGATTTATGGATCAGATTACACATTCTTGAACTTTCGATTTTGATTCTGTAATCATTTTCAAAAGTATCTCTTGAAATATATCTGGTATTTGGAGGATAAATATATGTAACTATCTACGAGAGAACTGTTTAATGTCAGGCCTGATTTCTGGTGTGTCTAGTTAGTGATTGCACTGTATATTGTTTACGAGACTGTATAAAGGTATACGGTATACAAGTTTATATGTTGTTAATTATAGTATGATATATACAAGTTTTATAAAATTAATCATGTCCTTAATTGTAGCAAAAAACCCCGATCTTATGCTTGTCCTATGTACATTGCCCCTTGATGAGCTCATGATTAGGTCTATAAAATTGTGTATCTCGTCATGTCCAATAAGGAAAACATAAGTTACAATTTTGGGATTGTTTGTGCCACAGGAGCGTCAGTACAAACAGATCTCCAGTGTAGACCAGTTAGCCATTCACTTTGCCTTGGATGGAAACATGCTTCACAAGGACTCGGATGAAGCGAGAAGACAGATGGCTAAACTTGGAATGCCTGATGGTGAGTGAAGTGTTTAATTATGATGTTATCACACAAGTTCACAATTATAAATTTGTCTGATGTCTTGATTTGGTGGCACACCCAGGTGAAACAGAGATTAACAACATGTTATATATTAATTAACCAGTCAAATAATCTTTGCTGAAAATGTTTTCACCTAATCAAGAGATTAAGTCTTTCAGATTGTGTTATAATCACTTAGTTTCTTTTTTTTTAAGTATTTTCATTCCCAATCATTTTTTTGTGACAATCAAAATGGTGTTTACCTTGAATTTGAGAAATATATTGTGTAAAAGTACCAGGTAGTGTTATTTTGAGGGGTTACATATCGATGTTGGACTATAGGACTTGTGGTAAGAACTAATTCAGTGTTACCAGACAGCTGTTACCATTCTAACTCACTTGTTTACCATTTTGAAGGAGAAGCAACAGGATTAAGTCTGGTAGCCCAAGGTAAAGTGGTCACACCTGACCAAAAACTTCCCATCCATGTTGTACCTTTAGCTGTAGTTATCAATAGTTTGGTGTTAGACAGCCTTACATTTAATTATCTCCCCCGACTCCAACATTTCGTTTCTTCCTTACTTATTACATCCATGGATTTACCTGACTTAAAGATATCACATTATTTCATTTTTTTTAACCTATAAGCTTTGAAATATAAATTAGAATATATTCATTTTTTAAATATGATACTATATTGCTCATACACTCTAAAGTAGGTCTTAACTAAAGAATATTTAACAAACTTTAGGTCTATAAAATATTAAATCTAAACCTGATTAATTTCAGAACTATGCAGGGGTATTTTATTTTCAGACCAGAGAGATTAAAAGTTTCTGTGAAAAGACTTTAATAACTACTATTATTTTGTGACAATCAAAATGGTGTTTACCTTGAATTTGAGAAATATATTGACTTTAATAACTACTATTATTCTAATGGTAAATATCTATTGAATATCAAGATATTTGTTGATTTTCTTAATCTAATTTCATTTTTGATGTATTAGCATAGATTCAAAAGTACTATCTTTAGCAACACTGAAATTCTTTCTCAACATATTTTAATTAATTACAAATCTAACATCAAGGAGTTGTTCTGTATTCTAATGGTAAATATCTATTGAATATGTAATAAGCTTACTGCTGTTAATAATTTCAACTCCAAATTCTTGTCAAACCCTTTGAAACAGACATTTTAAGAGTACCTTATAATTGTTTCAATTCATATTAATTACTTGCAATTGAAAATGAAGTACAATTAATTGAAATATGTAAACTTTCAGATACAACTGTGTACTTTTTCCCTTATCAAGGGGTACTTTTCACTTCATGTTTGATCGTATGCATTCTGACTTTGATTTGTCTTCTTTTTGGTTTTATAGATGAATTCTAAAATATCTTTTATAAACTTTATCATCTTTTTTTTTCTGTTTGAAATATGTTCACTGTTGGACTCAATTTATTAAATCACAAACACATAATTACTTATACCATGATAACATATTGGCATTAACACTGGTTTTCAGATTTATGATATTGCAAGTAATTATGTTGTTGTAATTTACATGAAAACCTTAATTTTCATATTGCTCTATTTGTCTACTAGAAAATTGGCATTTTAAAGATGTTTGGTAACAATTATCATGGAATATTTATAAAAGAATTGTTAAAAACGGAATGTACCTTGAAACATGTTTGGGGACAGTTCAGTTCAGTTGTAAATTAGTTGAAGGTTCTTATATCTAAGTTTTTGCTGAAAACAAACCTTCAATGTTTACACCTTATTGATAGACCTGTCTTGTTTACATACTTTATATTTGTACGCGAACTGAAACAGTAATCTATTGTGTTTTACAGCTGTCCAAAGTGAGCAAGCTGGCAGTGAGGGTGGCGAGGGAGCTGGAGCTGGGGCTGCTGAGGCGGACGATGCTAAAGATGAGGTAGGGGAGACAATTTGTAGATCGTTTGTTACCTAATGTGCAGCATGTTTAATTACCTGTCATTTACCTGAACCTCAGAACCTCCAGTACCGTTTGTGCCCAGTAGTGTCCATACTGATCAAGCATTCTTATGCATGTGAATGATTTATTATAGAACTGTCAACGTCAGAATTATAATAAAAAACTTTATAATCATCTTAATTTTGTTCCATGGCTGGTGTTATTTACCTGTGTACTCTGTTAACTGGTTATAGTGACATTTCATATCGAAAGTGAATTACTTTTAAAAAAAATGTGAAATTCCATAACACCATTAACTCATAATGCCGATCATTTACTAGTTGTGTTCATTTTAGCTACCAATAAATGACCATATCCTACAGTGAATAGTTAATTATTGTAACAGCAGTATAAATACGGTACTTGAAAATATATATTTGATAATAACAAAACAAGATGCCCATGCATCTTGATCTCCTTGCCTCGTCCTTTCCCGTCAATCAGTCATTCAGTTAAACCTAAAGATACTTGAAAAATCTCGGGTGACATTATGCTTTTGTCAAGAAACAGTTTGTGTCTAGATTAATGAAAAAGTTAATCAGTCTTAAAGGAAGATTGCTTTTAAATGGTTGAGATCAATTCTCTGAATCTTCTAATTAATTTCCCATTGAACCTTACATTGATTCTGTAGTTTTATAGTTAATATGTCCCTATTGTTAAAGGTTACTGTGGGTTCTGTGATGTTAATATGTCCCTACTGTTAAAGGTTACTGTGGGTTCTGTGATGTTAATATGTCCCTATTGTTAAAGGTTACTGTGGGTTCTGTGATGTTAATATGTCCCTACTGTTAAAGGTTACTGTGGGTTCTGTGATGTTAATATGTCCCTACTGTTAAAGGTTACTGTGGGTTCTGTGATGTTAATATGTCCCTACTGTTAAAGGTTACTGTGGGTTCTGTGATGTTAATATGTCCCTACTGTTAAAGGTTACTGTGGGTTCTGTGATGTTAATATGTCCCTACTGTTAAAGGTTACTGTGGGTTCTGTGATGTTAATATGTCCCTACTGTTAAAGGTTACTGTGGGTTCTGTGATGTTAATATGTCCCTACTGTTAAAGGTTACTGTGGGTTCTGTGATGTTAATATGTCCCTACTGTTAAAGGTTACTGTGGGTTCTGTGATGTTAATATGTCCCTACTGTTAAAGGTTACTGTGGGTTCTGTGATGTTAATATGTCCCTACTGTTAAAGGTTACTGTGGGTTCTGTGATGTTAATATGTCCCTACTGTTAAAGGTTACTGTGGGTTCTGTGATGTTAATATGTCCCTACTGTTAAAGGTTACTGTGGGTTCTGTGATGTTAATATGTCCCTACTGTTAAAGGTTACTGTGGGTTCTGTGATGTTAATATGTCCCTACTGTTAAAGGTTACTGTGGGTTCTGTGATGTTAATATGTCCCTACTGTTAAAGGTTACTGTGGGTTCTGTGATGTTAATATGTCCCTACTGTTAAAGGTTACTGTGGGTTCTGTGATGTTAATATGTCCCTACTGTTAAAGGTTACTGTGGGTTCTGTGATGTTAATATGTCCCTACTGTTAAAGGTTACTGTGGGTTCTGTGATGTTAATATGTCCCTACTGTTAAAGGTTACTGTGGGTTCTGTGATGTTAATATGTCCCTACTGTTAAAGGTTACTGTGGGTTCTGTGATGTTAATATGTCCCTACTGTTAAAGGTTACTGTGGGTTCTGTGATGTTAATATGTCCCTACTGTTAAAGGTTACTGTGGGTTCTGTGATGTTAATATGTCCCTACTGTTAAAGGTTACTGTGGGTTCTGTGATGTTAATATGTCCCTACTGTTAAAGGTTACTGTGGGTTCTGTGATGTTAATATGTCCCTACTGTTAAAGGTTACTGTGGGTTCTGTGATGTTAATATGTCCCTACTGTTAAAGGTTACTGTGGGTTCTGTGATGTTAATATGTCCCTACTGTTAAAGGTTACTGTGGGTTCTGTGATGTTAATATGTCCCTACTGTTAAAGGTTACTGTGGGTTCTGTGATGTTAATATGTCCCTACTGTTAAAGGTTACTGTGGGTTCTGTGATGTTAATATGTCCCTACTGTTAAAGGTTACTGTGGGTTCTGTGATGTTAATATGTCCCTACTGTTAAAGGTTACTGTTGGTTCTGTGATGTTAATATGTCCCTATTGTTAAAGGTTACTGTTGGTTCTGTGATGTTAATATGTCCCTATTGTTAAAGGTTACTGTGGGTTCTGTGATGTTAATATGTCCCTACTGTTAAAGGTTACTGTGGGTTCTGTGATGTTAATATGTCCCTACTGTTAAAGGTTACTGTGGGTTCTGTGATGTTAATATGTCCCTACTGTTAAAGGTTACTGTGGGTTCTGTGATGTTAATATGTCCCTACTGTTAAAGGTTACTGTGGGTTCTGTGATGTTAATATGTCCCTACTGTTAAAGGTTACTGTGGGTTCTGTGATGTTAATATGTCCCTACTGTTAAAGGTTACTGTGGGTTCTGTGATGTTAATATGTCCCTACTGTTAAAGGTTACTGTGGGTTCTGTGATGTTAATATGTCCCTACTGTTAAAGGTTACTGTGGGTTCTGTGATGTTAATATGTCCCTACTGTTAAAGGTTACTGTGGGTTCTGTGATGTTAATATGTCCCTACTGTTAAAGGTTACTGTGGGTTCTGTGATGTTAATATGTCCCTACTGTTAAAGGTTACTGTGGGTTCTGTGATGTTAATATGTCCCTACTGTTAAAGGTTACTGTGGGTTCTGTGATGTTAATATGTCCCTACTGTTAAAGGTTACTGTGGGTTCTGTGATGTTAATATGTCCCTACTGTTAAAGGTTACTGTGGGTTCTGTGATGTTAATATGTCCCTACTGTTAAAGGTTACTGTGGGTTCTGTGATGTTAATATGTCCCTACTGTTAAAGGTTACTATGGGTTCTGTGATGTTAATATGTCCCTATTGTAAAGGTTACTGTGGGTTCTGTGATGTTAATATGTCCCTACTGTTAAAGGTTATTATGGGTTCTGTGATGTTAATATGTCCCTACTGTTAAAGGTTACTATGGGTTCTGTGATATGTCGGGTGTTAGTCGGGTACTACCCAGTATATGTGTATATAATGTTTGCCATCTTGATTACCATCACAGTGTGGTTCGCCCACTAACGATCAGGCTGATCACGAGGAGCCTGTACAAGAATTGGTATATCTCCATCACTTTTAAGTCTATATATAATTTTTATGGTCACTGTATTCTCACGTAAAACTTGTGTTGCTTTCTGGTCATGCACTTACACTTTGTAGAAAGGAACAGTTATAAGCTTGCAATCCATTTTATGTTTTTTCCCCAATTCTAATAGATCTAGAATTAGGTTCCAATTTCCCACCGTAAAATTATATTCTACTCAATTTAAGCTACGTAAAATTGTCATTAATTTGTTATTTCCTGTACAAAAGTATTTTAAACGTTGAAATAAAAAATAATTTCAGCAATAGTATGTGTAAAAACTTGAAGGGATCAACTTGTTTAATCAGTAAAAATAATTAAACAAATTACTGCTTCTTTATAGTGGTGTTGTATATTTTAACTCGCTGAAGTTTTATAGATATCAGGAGTTCAGTAGTCTATACTGAGCGGGGCAAATACACATGGTTTTCTCATCCCAGGTCGACCAGAGTCAAGTTCAAACAGAGAATTAAGAATTCTGTGCTACATCTTTTTATTCCTTTAATTTTCATGAATAATAGCTATATAGTAGTACTTGATGGCTATTTTGTATGATGAGTATAATTGGTGGTGCACTACAGTGTTAACTTATATAATATGCCTGCAGATTCATTACACCTGTTGTGTTTGTTGTAAACATAGGCAGTCTGATTTAAATACTGTTGATCCATGCACCTTGCTATGTTTCCTGTTTATATTTGCTTTTATTTGTTTGATATTGACATTTTTCTGATTAGCTGTACATGTATTTTGTTTGTGTATTTATTTTTTGTCTGCCGATATATTTTACGTAATCACTTTTACAAGTTTTAAATGCTCATTCTTTTGGCTTTTTAGAATTTTGTTTTACTCACTTGAACATGTATTGGTAATCATAAAGACAAGAGTATGGATGTGTAGTTTTTGTGTCGCCTGCAACGCGAGGCAACATATAGGTATTACTTTGTCGGCGTCAGCGTAGGCAGTGTCCTTGGTTGCGTCGTCCGAAACAAGGTTTCTGTGCGATAACTTGAGTTCCCTTGAGTTGATTAAACTCAAACTTGGTACACATATTGCATTCCAATAAAGCTCGAACAAGTTCACATTTCAAAAGTTTACCCGCAGTTTTAGTGGAGTTATGCCCCTTTTATTGCCAAATAAGGGCATTAATTGTTTAGTAAATGCAAGAACTTTTATCTATTTTAATCAATTCCTTTCAAATTTTGTACCGTAATGCTAGGACGAATAATGTTCAACATATATGACAGGTTTTATTCTGTCAAGTTTCAACTTTCTGTTTATATGATAACTCAAGCCAAAATACTTTTCTTACTTAAAGTGCTGAGCAGGCGACACATCCACTCCCGTGGAGTTCTTGTTGTAATGTTTTGTGAGTTTATCGGTAGATGTATGACAAAAAATGTGTATTATTTTGTGACACTGATAGTGTTTGTCATATTTTTTCATCCAAACTGCCTTTTTAAAATGAAAAAAGAAGTATCTTACATATAAATAATAACTATTGTTATTACTGTACATGTCACTTTATATTTAAGATAGTTAAAAAACTAAAATTATTTTAAAGAAAGATGTCATTCAGTTTGAATATTAAGTTAAATTTAGATTGTCAAGCATATGCGTACACCTGCTATGTATTTTGTCAATAATGTACTCTGACCTACATCTACATGTTAAGTAATGTTGTATGTCTGCAAGGTGTACATGTTAGATAATGGTGGTCTGGTTGTAGGGAAAGGATGAGGGGCGTGATGATGCTGCCACACCTACACCAGCTGCTGCAGCTGGGGGTAAAAAACTCACCAACCAGTTCAACTACAGCGAGAGAGCTTCCCAGACCTACAACAACCCCTACAGGGTAAGTGTGACCATCTAGTCCACAACACAACAATCCCTACAGGGTAAGTGTTACCATCTAGTCCACGACACAACACTCCCTACAGGGTAAGTGTTACCATCTAGTCCACGACATAACAATCCCTACAGGGTAAGTGTTACCATCTTGTCCACGACACAACAATCCCTACAGGGTAAGTGTTACCATCTAGTCCGTGACACAACAATCCCTACAGGGTAAGTGTTACCATCTAGTCCGCGACACAACAATCCCTACAGGGTAAGTGTGACCCTCTAGTCCACAACACAACAATCCCTACAGGGCAAGTGTGACACTCTAGTCCACAACACAACAATCCCTACAGGGTAATTGTGACCATCTAGTCCACAACACAACAATCCCTCCAGGGTAAGTGTGACCATCTAGTCCACAACACAACAAACCCTACAGGGTAAGTGTGACCATCTAGTCCACAACACACCAATCCCTACAGGGTAAGTGTGACCATCTAGCCCACGACACAACAATCCCTACAGGGTAAGGGTGACCATCTAGTCCACGACACAACAATCCCTCCAGGGTAAGTGTTACCATCTAGTCCACGACATAACAATCCCTACAGGGTAAGTGTTACCATCTTGTCCACAACACAACAATCCCTACAGGGTAATTGTGACCATCTAGTCCACAACACAACAATCCCTCCAGGGTAAGTGTGACCATCTAGTCCACAACACACCAATCCCTACAGGGTAAGTGTGACCATCTAGCCCACGACACAACAATCCCTACAGGGTAAGGGTGACCATCTAGTCCACGACACAACAATCCCTACAGGGAAAGTTTTACCATCTAGTCCACGACACAACAATCCCTACAGGGGAAGTGTTACCATCTAGTCCGCGACACAACAATCCCTACAGGGTAAGTGTTGCCATCTAGTCCACGACACAACAATCCCTACATGGTAAGTGTTACCATCTAGTCCACGACACAACAATCCCTATAGGGTAAGTGTTACCATCTAGTCCACGACATAACAATCCCTACAGGGTAAGTGTTACCATCTTGTCCACGACACAACAGTCCCTACAGGGTAAGTGTTACCATCTAGTCCACAACACAACAATCCCTCCAGGGTAAGTGTGACCATCTAGTCCACAACACAACACTCCCTACAGGGTAAGTGTTACCATCTAGTCCGCGACACAACAATCCCTACAGGGTAAGTGTTGCCATCTAGTCCACGACACAACAATCCCTACAGGGGAAGTGTTACCATCTAGTCCACGACACAACACTCCCTACAGGGTAAGTGTTACCATCTAGTCCGTGACACAACAATCCCTACAGGGTAAGTGTTGCCATCTAGTCCACGACACAACAATCCCTATAGGGTAAGTGTTACCATCTAGTCCACGACACAACAATCCCTCCAGGGTAAGTGTTACCATCTAGTCCACGACACATCTCAACAAAACTTGTTTTTCAAATTTTATCATCAAAGCTTTGAAGTCATGTAAAATCAAAGACTACTATTACAAAAAAAGTGTTAAGTTACTAAAAGTGTACATAGAGCCAATGCACTTTTTCTGTATGATTGTATTCTGTTGAACAGGAGAGAGGCACAGCAACTGAACCTCCCCCAAGAGCCACATTTTCTGGTAGTGTCACCCAGTGGGAAATCTTTGATGCCTACAATGAGGACTTTGAGAAACAGGTAAACAAACAGCAAATTATTGTACTTACATTGATAAAGATGTCCTACTAGATTCATTTAAACTAATATGTGATGTTTAGATATATTTGTTTCTTACCAAAAAGAATGTCTTAATTATTAAGAAACAGAAACGTTTAATTTCAGCAGAACAATTGCCTAAATAGAGTGATGTTGGACAGAGTCATCAAGCGTTCAAACAGCAAAAGATGCTATATACTTTTGATATGATGCATATTGCACTTGTGATGCAATGTATCTGACCTGTGATACAATGTATATCTGACCTTTGTCAAAAATAAAATTTTGTAGCAAAATGCTTTAAAAATGATTAGAAACGTGAACATGTTTGTTAAAAAGGGAAAACAACTACTAGAAGAATAATTCAAGATGTTTGGTGGGCATTACATTTTGAAAGTTTGAAATATCAAATAGTCATACTTAAATAGTACTTTATTACAGCCGTGTAATTTATATATCTCTGCTTCCCTCAATTTGATCCTGAATGATCTCCTTTGTTTGAGCAACCCCTCCCGTGATCAATGCCCCTCCCGTGATCAATGCCCCTCCCGTGATCAATGACCCCTCCAGAACTGTTGTCTGTGATCACCTCTTTCATATGATTTTCTGCTTCTTGATCACCTGTGTGATCTCTGTGTAGTCTCACCCTGTTCAGACATTAACTGTCCAAGGTTTATATTTTAGTACCAGGCCATGAAGGCTAAACAGGTCCAAAAGTCACCCTCTATCTACCTGTGTAGTCTTACCCTGTTCAGACATTAACTGTCCAAGGTTTATATTTTAGTACCAGGCCATGAAGGCTAAACAGGTCCAAAAGACACCCTCTATCTACCTGCACCACCATCAGCTGATACAAGTATACCCGTCTTCTCCTTTATTACTCTTTATTGAAGGAATGCAGCAGTATATTATGCAATAGTGATTAGATTTCAGCTGCCTACGTTTAAGCACGGGCTGCAGTCATTCTGATGCAACTTTTGGCTATTTCTACCATAACCAGCATGAGATGATTATGTTACAGTCAAACTCAGCTCTAGAAAACTTCTTAACTAATTCATGTGTCATTTAGAAACAAATGAGTTAAAAATTGCCACTCTTGTGAAAATAAAAAGTTTGCTTAAGTTGAGATTGACTGTTATAGTCATCAGGCTTTTTTTAGTAATCTAAATAGGGATATCATTGGATTCAGAAAGATTTGTGTACATTATAACCAACACATTTTGCCAAAATTTCAAGTTTGATTTAAATTGATTGTTTATTTTATTGTATATTATTCAATAAGCCAACACAATTATAACATGCAATAACAAATTGATGAGAAAACAAGCTTTTAATTATAACTTTCTTTCCAAAGGAGTCATGTTTGATCAAACTACCACAACATTTTGCAAAACATATCTTTATTTAAGCTAGGTCAGTATGTGATACTTTAAAGGTTTCTTTGCATAAATCTTTCTGTATCTTGAGATGATTAGAAATGAAGGTGACCTAGTGAGTTGAAAGCATGACTTGGATTAAGTTTTGAATATGAACCATTGCATGATATATATTTTTATATACAAAATGTACATATACAATGTTTATCTAGAAGGGTATGTATGCATACAGGTAGTTTAATATTAACATGATTTATAATTTTCAGCATGCATGAATCTTCTATTGACTATAGCTAGTAACTTAAGCCCACCAACATATAATTTAAAATGTAGATTATGTACCAGACCTCTGTTATAAAAATGGGTCCTCTTAAGTAAAAGATTAGTTTATATTTCATTTCAAAAATGAACAAATACCAGGTAATTGAAAAAAGAATGGAGCCTGATGGACGTTTAACTGTCAGCTATGTGTGATTGTGATATATGTCATACCTAATGTGTACCTAGCATGCTCGTGCTGTCCGCAAGACTGACCATTTTGGATTTGGCCCTACGAAATTTACTGGCAGGGTAGGTGCACACAGGTGGCAATTGGGAAGTATATAAATATTGTCACTGTATGGTGTACACCATGGCCTAGGTAGTGACCTGAAACTTGCTGTTATTTGATGGATGAACACTTAGTGATTAACGGCTGCCTTAACTGACAGAGGAATGCTCTGATATAGAGGTCACTTTGTCATTATTTGTGTGTATGGATATCAAGCACTATAACTTGTGATTCAGTCAAAAGATATGTTGGATTCACACTGTCACACAAATCTAGAAAGAATGGTTTGGAATGGGACATCAGTCGTCAGATAAGGGAACTTTTCTGTACTTACAGTCGTCAGATAAGGGAACCTTTCTGTACTTACAGTTGTCAGATAAGGGAACCTTTCTGTACTTAAATTCATGCTGTGACTGAACAAAAAATTGTCATATACATGTGTTAGGATTTTCTTGGGCACAACATGCACAGCATGTTTTGTAAATATGCACATTAATGTTCAATAGATCAGATTTGCTATTTTTGATAATTTTATGTATTGGTTTTTTGGTTATTTTTTCCCTTTACTACCAGGCACTTTTTTTTTTTTTTAACTATTACACAGTTTGAACTTTCTTGCTTTCTGTAAATATCATGGATTCTAAACAACAACAAAATAAACACCTTTCTGAATTATCCCCACTCTTCAAGTGAACACATTTACATAGGCATATCAACTATAACATCCGCACAGGTACATCAAGACCTTGATCTTAGAGAATATGTTGTTCCTTTAGTAGATGAGTGCATGATTTAGTAAAGTATCAAAAATGCATACATATATACTGCATGTATTTTGCATGTTTTAATTTTGAATGGCATATACTGTGTAAACCTCTTTTTTTTTTACATCATGTAAGTTTTATCCTTGTAAAAGATACTGAAGACACACCAGTCAAATTCTGATTTTCATTCTTATATACATATTTTATAACACATTATATATCATATAATGCATGATTTTCAGTTTTTTATCCCCATCAGAACTGCAACCCTTCATTTGTCTTAGAATTTATATAACTTGATATTTTAAACTCAATCTTATTTTTAAAGTAACTTTGTTAAAATATTGATATTGACAAAATCTTGTTTTAACAAATGTGAGTACTTAACTGGAACGTTATGTCTGGAGTGTGTATGTTTATGTACTAATACCTATATTAGGAGGACTTGATTACAGGTACTGTGTCACTGATTACAGGTACTGTGTCACTGATTATAGGTACTGTGTCACTGATTACAGGTACTGTGTCACTGAT